TTGTTTATGTAATTCCTATGGTTGATTTGATGAACTGAGTTACTTGGAGAGAAATCAAGATTGGGATTTTGAAAATTATGTTTTTTATGGTAGAGAAAGATGTTTTGCTTATTTTTCCATGTTTAATTTTAGGGATTTTATCGACAAGCAAGTTTTCGAAAGTATCTCCAAGGTTCAAAATGTGGATACGAAATACGATGTGATTTTATTATTTGGTAATCAAGGTTAAGACAATTCATTAAAGGATTAAAAAACAACACAATACAATCAATCAGCTAGGGTTAAAATTATGACAAGTCCGCAGAGATCAAAATCACATTGGGATTCCGTTTTCCACCTTTGGTCAATTGTGCACACGGTGTGCACACACGGTACACCTCTTCTACATGATCAAAAAATAATCTTATTTTTCTGTTATTATATGATTCAAATTTGTTTTCATAAATTGATGAACAGAAAGTAGATGAAATGGTATGTAGGATTAAGCTCCTTTTCCTATATTTTCATGTACCCTTCAAATCTTGAAGGGAATGCAAGTTTTTAACATATCTCTGATCTGTTTGTGTCAGTTTCCATGCTGTATCGTGTTGAGTAGTTCTATGCCCATTTGGTATCGTTTTGAATATTTAACTATTATAGGAAATGAACCTTTCACACAAATCTGTTTGATCAATCTGTCTTAAACATGGTGAGGTTATAGTTTGATTGAAAATGCTATGATACAGAGGTGAGGTTATTGGTTTTCTATCTAGTTTTTGAAGGTGACTTTGATTTTTTTTAACTATTATAAATTGCCAAATTCAATTAAACTTTTGATATATGCATAGTTTATCATATGTGTTGTTAATCAAAACTCAAAAGTGTTTATTTTACATTTTCTCAGAAAAGGAAAATAAACGATGTCGATGTGAAACTGTCAAATTTTTTAAAGTGTGATAATTGATGTAAATAATACATCGATAAAATCGATATAATATTTACATCGATTGTCGATGTAAAACTCAACCAATGAGGAGGTTTACATCGATTTTTTATATAAACCTTAAATTAAAAATAAACACATGAAAATAAGGATTGGGTGTAAAGTTTTTACAGCAATCTGTATTTACACTGAAAACAAACATAAGGAGATGTTCTCGGTTTCAATGGCTGGTTGGGGCGTTGTTTGTCACTCGAATGCACCACTCCAAAAGTTGATCACTCGAATACATTCAAGATAAAAATCCAGGGGTCCCTGTAATGTCGAGCATTGCAGAAAGACCAAGATTAAAAGGATGTCACTGAAAGAATCAATGATAAATTAAAAAGGAAAGGAAATGGTTCTTATTGGGTAATGGGAAAGGCATTCTGTTTTGGCTAGATAACTGAATTGGCGATGGGCCACTATCCCTAGGGGCTAGGGGCTAGGGCCAACAACACCCTGACTTGAATGCTAGGGTGGAGCAATTCATTCATCAAGTGGACAAATCAATGGAATTCAGGGATGATTCCTCAAACGGTCAGATAACTGAATTTGTGGGCTTTATGGCCTATTTTGAACTTGGGTAATAGAGAGTGGAGGATTGACCTGCTTAATTTGCCCACAAAGCAAGTATGGCTTCTAGTGGATCAAAAATTCCATTGGGCCCAACCCAAGATGAAGATTTATTATAGAAATTAGTGGAATACCGATTCTTACTAAACAGCTTTCGAACCCAACCCAAAGCCACTAACGAGTTCAGATCTGCTGATCATAATGCATTCACTTAACCATGCATTGGAAATATCTCTTATACTTTATATTATCGATATTCTCAATGTGCGGTTAGATGAATGTGACCAGCAACTGTCTAAAAAGCAACAAAGTTACCTTGATCATATATGAGAGAATGTTAAGCTTTCACTTGATAGCATGGGTTTATTAAGCTACTGTCCAAAAAGGTCCAGACAATATGCTTACGTGTGCTCTAGTTTGGGTTGGTGCCCCTTAGGTTCGGTTTGGAAGTAGTACAAATGCAAATATGTAGAGCCCAAAAACTATGTATTTTGTATGAATTTGTACTGTACATATTTGTATTTGCACTCCTTCCGAACTGAGCTTTTGTAAACAGAAAATGAGTATATCTCTCCACATGTAATAATACGTGTTCTTTCGTCACTAAGAGATAAGGATGTCTACAGGTCGGGTTTGGTATGGGTTGGCTTTTGGAATTTATGGGTTTCAAGTAATCACTTGCCATAGCGAAAGACAAAAAACAAAAACAAATACGAAAAATCCTAAACTTTAAGGTTATGGGTTGGAAGTCATACCAAATTGCAACAATACCCTCTATATATGTAAGGGTAGCATGACCCGATAGGGCAGGCCAGCAAAACCCAAATATGACTTAAATTGAAGAATCAAAACCCTAACATGAGTAAACATGCACGACCCTAGATTGACCCTATAGGGTCGGGTCAAGCCGGTTTATCATTTAACCTCATCCATTGACATCCCTAAGGTGTCATTTCTCATTTTATAGGGTTATACTCAATTTATCAAAAATGAAGTTTGCCCAAATCACTAATCTTTTCATAATTTATTATTATAATTTTGTTCGGTGTTGTTTGTTTTGTTCTGATAGGAGAAAATGCTTATTTAAAATAAAGTTATGTAGTAATAATCACCGAAACCATACATTTTTGTAGATTGACCTCCTGATTCTCTTCTTTGCGATTGATAATTGAGGCACTAGCTTTGGTATGCAGGCATTATATCCACCCATGGGCCATGGCCAAATGGACCAAAGCTGATACCAAACACCCCAAAATAAGATGTCTACTTTTTCAAATTGGAAGTTGTTAGAGAGCATCTCATCCGGATTATATTATTTTTCTATTTAAATGACACCCACTTGATTTTTCTTCAAACACACTTATCTCTTAACTCTCACTTTTAAATGATAAATACCCAAATGATGCAGTCGATGTCAATTCTTTTCCAAGTATGAGAATGTCAAAATTCACTGAAAAGGGGATTAGTCTTGCTTTCTTTTGTTTAAAATTAAGGGTCCGTTTGGTTTGTAGTTGAAATCGGAATTGAAATCAAAATCCTCCAGAACTGTTATCAGAATGATATATTCCTATAGTCTGTTTGATTCAAACAGGAATGGACTGAAATGAGAATTGAAATCAGCAGAAATGGGATTCATTCCCAAGAAAAGAGCAGAGAATGGCCATTCCCTCAAATGGGGAATGGGATTCTGATTCCGCTGCGAACCAAACTGGGCCTAAATGGATTTAGAAGGGATGATAGCCTAATAAACACGTAATCTAACTGTAATTTTGATTCATCTGAAATACCTACTACTGTTCTTTCCTTTCAAGCTCATGATTGTGCTTAGTGGATATAGTTGTTGTAGTAACATTTGACATATCAACGGACATGGAAAGTGGCATCATTACTTCATGTGTTGAATGAGGATGACATGGACCCATTTGATGATTTTGAAAGACAGTGATGCCACTACCTTTTCCCTTGGTGCAATTACTCAATTATTCCATATCATCCAATTGTTGGGGGTTGCCACTAAGGTGAGCCACACCCACCAAATCATACCTATTGGAATATGATCATAACCATCTGATCAGCATCATCTGAGATGAATTGTTCAATTGGCAGAAATCTTCCACCCAGGAACTGGCCCCATGACCAATTGGGTTTGTGGTGATGGAGTACCTAATTCATCAACTGTTGAAGGTGTTAAATTCTACCAACCAGGCTGCCAATCAGCTTGGGGAAAAGCTGGATAGCTGGATCAAGTGGGTTGAAAACTTGGATCAAATAATCATCAAAATTTGTTACCAGTTAATCACCTTTTCCAAATTAGCCTACCTAGTCATTTTAGTTTGTTTTTAGGTCTTTGTTAAGAACAATATGAACACTCAAGATGAGGACAGCTGATTCAGTGGTCCAAATTCATCACTAGATGGACCACATATAAATATATACCATGCAGAGCTTCTGTACATGTCTATACGTACATACGTATGCTACATGTTTGTCAAAAGGAGATAAGAAATAAAGTGCAGCTAGCCCATGGGCCATGGAAGCTTCTTCCAGTGACTGTCACATTTCTCCCCACCAAAAGCTCCATGAGCTCAAATGTCTTGGCCCACCTTGAGATCTACCACTTACAAGCTTTTCCTCCTTACCTCTCGGTTCCTGTTGTTTAGTTCCTATTGCCCATAGAAATCAAGGCTGATTTCATTATGTTGTTACCTGGTTTACAGCATATTTCTTTTAATTAGTCATCAGCAATGATAGAAGCTGGTTCATGAAGGGAGGATCATTAATTTCACATCAATGAGCTTCATGAAATCTCAGGGCCTGTTTGGTTTGATTCGCAGGAATAGAGCTCTGGATCCGATCCCAACAGTTTGGTTGAGTGGAATCAGAATCCCATTCCCATTCCTGATGGAATGGCATTCCCCCATTTTGAGGGAATGGTCATTTCCTCCCCTTTTTTGGGAATGAAATTTCATTCCAGTTGATTCTAATTTCTATTCCTATTCCTGTCTTGAACCAAACACAAACAGATTTTGGGAATAGACCATTCCCATTCCGATTTAAAAGGATTTTGATTCTGATTCCCATTGACATATACATTTAGCCAGAACCCAATCTACATGTGCCACATCATCGATAAGGGTATTTTTGTCAATGAACAGATTCAATTGACCAGAATACCCATTAATTGTTTGCCACAGAAAGGAGCACCATAGTGTCTGGATCATATATGTAGAGATTGTGCGTATCTGTTTATGTTCAAAGAGTACTATTATTGTGTGCACTCTCAGTTGTGAAGGTAGTGGGGATGCAGAAAATAATGTCTACTTCCATACGCCAATCTGCAACTCCACATTTTCAAACATCTCCATTAAAAAAACTGACCCTTTTCTGCTCTGCAACTCCACATTCTCCTCCACCAGACCAAAAAGCCTGCACAAGTGAGCCCCACAGGTTTGATTTTAATTTTCAAACCTATACCCACCACTTCATTTTTTTTTTTAATATTAAAATCCAGCTACTACCCAAGTAACCCAACACCATCAAAACTCCATCTAGAAGGCAAGAATGATCAAGACCCATTCTGTTAATACTAATAAACTAGTTTAGTTTGGTATTCTCCTTATTATACGTTCACAGACCACACCACTTTGGCTTCTTTTTAAACAGGAAGAAATGCAGTTTGTGGAACAGTGAAAACAAATAACCTTACTTGTCAACTTATCTCTGAGTGTGGGTCTGCTTTCTTTTTGAATATCAAAAGTTTTCAAACGTATCTACCTATGCAGTGGGGAAACAAAGAAAAGATGCTGAAGCTTTTTTATACAAATTAAAGAAGATATATATATATATATAGATTCATATATTTGTTAGATGAGTTCGTACATTCACTGAAGATAATTTGGTTGAGCCTGTATTTTCGTCAAGTAGTATCCATTTAGAAGATTATTTCTGTCCCATGAAGCTATAAATCAGCACAAAAGGGTTGTCAGAGCTGCGTGATCAACCTCTTTCTAGCTTCTAAGCATTGAAAAATGAAGATCCTCTAAAAGCTGTTTCCTTTCATCAGTGTTGCAAGCTTTTCTGTTCTTCTTCTTCTTCTTCCTCTTCTACCTTTGGCAGAATCATCTCATGAACAGGTGAAACAAGTTGGCAGTAACAGGAGCATCAAACAAAACAATCAGAAGGTAATTTTATTTTATCAACTCTGCAGTTCTTCTATTTTTCTCCATTTCTCTTTCATCTACCACTTGCCAAACAAATTTTCTTGTTGTATGCACAATGAATTTTTGCAGCAATCATTCTGCTTGAACATGAATTTGTAGAGCATAATCTGGCCACTTAGTGAAGCATGTCAATTACTATTACATGAGATATGTATGATTACTGATATTCTAACTGCTTTCTGTTATACATTAACAGATGAGTCCTGAGCTTTCCTTTGAAATTGCACTTCATGGGTTTCTCCTCTGGGCTTCCATGGGATTTCTAATGCCAGTTGGGATACTTCTTATAAGAATGTCCAATAGAGAGGAATGTGGGAGAAGGCTCAAAGTTCTCTTCCATTTCCATGTAATTTTACAGGTGAGAGCATCTTTTCTTTTAATTGTTACATTATATTATCCTCACTCTTCCACCATTCAGAACTGTCGATTATTTTTTTGCATGGCCAGAGTGGCAAAAGTTAATCATTTCTTTCTTTCTATCCTCTTTCCTTTTTTTTAATCGGGCCTCATAAACTAATGAGTGATCATTCAATCCTCCCTTGAATTCATTAGATTCTCCACTTTAACTTATAAATGATGGTAATTGGCGATAAAAAAAATGTAAATGGCTCATAGCTCTTATTTAACCCAAGTTCATCATCACTGATAAAATAATACCAGGTTATCCTTTTCTTCTTCGAGTTGATCAATGATACTATCATGAATACTTGAACAACAAGGGAAATTATTAGGGCCCATTTGGTTTGCACTTGGAATCAGAAACCGAATTGGAATGATCTATTCCCATAAGTATGTTTGGTTCAGACTGGAATTGGAATGGGAATTGGAATAAACTGGAATGAGATTTCATTCCTAAGGGAGGGGGGAGGGAATAGCCATTACACAAATGGGAAATGTCATTCTACCAATCCGTCCAACCAAACAGTTGAAATCGGAATGACCCGTTCTAAATTTCCAATTCCAATTCCAGATCCCTATTCCCATAAACCAAACGGGCCCTTAATTATGTTTGTTCAAAAATATTTCTTACTCTTGACTCTTAGTCTTATATACTACTAAACAATGAAACCGTCCTCAGTCATGTGGTAAAACCTTTCTTATGTGGTAAAAGCTTTTTACCATTTATGTGATTGTGGGGTTTGGTGGTTATATATATATATATATTGTTAACTATGTTTTTCATATTACCCACTAATTAATAAATTCACTGTGGGACCCAAGCCTCATGTAACAAAAGATAGGTTCATATAATTAATTATTATTAAAATGATTAATATTCTCACGATACTATATATAATCTACCTTTCTTTATTTTTTGAATTCAATAACCCTTTGATATTTGAAGATGTCCATATCGAGATGAATCATGTTGCATGGGGAGACTATTTCCATTCTCCCACCATGCACGGTTTAAAGTTTATAACTCAAAATTGATTTCTTTTGGTAACGATAACGTTATCAATGAGAAAAGGAGGTTACACCAAAATCACAAAGGAAATATTAGGGGGTGTTTGTATTCATACTTCCTTCATCTGGTTCATAAACATAACCAGCGTTTTGTATGCTTGTTCTGGAATCAGTATAATGGCCTTTTGCCAAACACAATTTTTTATAGCTTTTTCAACTAGAAAACATGATTCACTGATGTGCATATGACATGGCAGTCATATGGTTCCAGTTATAATGTCTCTATTTGATAATGACTACTGTATCATAAAAAGTATAGGCTAGTACATGCACACATGAGTCTCAGAATATCATGGTTCAAAAACTGAACCATGAAAAAGATTGGTATGGTGCCTCTCACACACATGGATTGCTGATGTAAGCATGATGGCAGTTACATGATAAAGAAATTTTTTTTGGCTCAAAAGTAGTATATATATATATAAATTTATGCTACTGGAAAGATATGGTATCTAAAAGATTTGACCAATCAAAGCACCCTGTAAATGCCACCTCCTAATTGGTCACTCTTTTGTGATACCAGTTGATTGGCTATAAGTTTTTTCGATATCATGTCTTTCCGGTATTGATAGTCAAACCCATATCATAGTAAAAAAATGAGCCACAAACCGAACACCCTATTTTGTATTATTTGGTCAAAACATGCATAGTCAATCTCTAAAAAATAATTGGTTTTTTTTAATCCATATACCACCTTTTTTTAAAACTATGAACCAAACGCAACTGAAGTGGATAATTGCATTTTTTTCATCTCTTAAAAAGCTATTATATTTATATATCTAAGGTGGCATTTGATAAATCTGAAATCTGAAAAAGTTAAAAAGATATTAATGGTGTCCAAAATCTGAAAAGAGACATAGATGCTTTTCGACTTTTTAGAGGCTCTGAACAAAGAAGGTTGTTTGTGTTGGATCAAACCTTCAGCATCTGAAATTCATTAATTTTACTATTTTACCCCCTAAAACATACTATTTGTTAATTTTGAATTCAGTTTGTACTATTTCATAAAATATAATTTATTAAATTCAAAATAATATTGAAAAATATGAACAAATTGTGATAAATTATAAAAAAAATAAAAGCTTATTAAAATATGAATAAAATTGAAAATATATATAAATTTATAAATTAAAAATAAATTATTAAAAGTTAAAATAATAACGAAAATAATAATAAAGTCCATGAAGCAATGAAAAAATATTTAATAATTAAATTATTAAATTAATCCTATTAAACTATTTAATAATTAAAAAAAATCAAACTACTAACACTTCTCTTTTTCTCCTAAACAAAATATTTGAAAAGATATAATTAGAATAACATTGAAGCCTTGAAATGATCTATGTACATTGTACTAGATTACTGATTTAATTTCAAGTAGCTATGGGTAAAAGTCTATGCCCAAGATTCAAGTATCGGTGTGTATTGTATGATATTATCAATTCCTCTTCTTCTTCCATGAGGCTATACAACGGGGGTAGTCCATCTCCCTCTCTTAACCCCCAACCCTAGTGACAGCAAGATTTGATCCCAGGTCTCTACTCCTAGTAAGAGATGTTATCAATTTTTTAACCCACTGATGACACCAAATATTGTCTCTGGCATCTGTCACTTTAAATTTGAAGGGTATTGTATCAGTGTGTATCGGTGAACAGAAGTCCTAACTTGCAGTATATAGCATATCGGAGGATTGAAAACCCGATACTATATTATACCCATGGGATGATAATGATCTATTAAATATTATAATTTTTTTGTAAAAATGGTAATTATATTATAGGGAATGAACTAAATCGTCTTCTCTATTCAGCAGACCAAGTTTCTATGGTGACTTGCACATTTTTGTGATCCCTCCAAAATTTAATAGCAAATCTATGATTTTTCTTTGGTCCAATCTTCTATTTTCTTTTGGACTAATTACTTTTCAAATCATCAGGTGCTTTCAGTGCTTCTTGCCACAACTGGAGCAGTTCTGTCCATCAAAAATTTTGATAATGCCTTCAATAATAACCACCAAAGGATAGGGCTGGCCCTTTATGGTCTCATATGGGTCCAAGCCCTCATTGGGTTTTGCAGGCCCCAAAGGTAATTTCCTTGATTTCCTCATCCTGTCAATCTAGAGTCTCAGTTATCTCACCAGGGAAGAAATGAAAAGTGACTATTGATCTAGTCCATTTTCCTTTGACTATTTAGTACCCTTTGACTTGGTGGTGAAGCCTCTGAAATAACACTTGATCCTAGAAGAGAGTTATTTATTTAGGTAAATGCATTTACCTTAATAAGTGCATTTATCCATGTTCTTTCATTTTTCGAGTTAATAAGATAATAGCCGTTTTATCCATAAAAAATCATTATTTTAAAGGGCAATTTTGTCTCATCCAAATGTTGGCAACTCCCCCACCCCTATAGGTAATTAGTAACTTTCCCACCCAAGAGATGGGTATCACCTATCCGAGTAAATACATATTACCTAGAGAAAATAAGTTTTCCATGAACCCCACATAAATCTGAAAAAAGAGCATGGGTTTCTTGGCCAATGGGAACCAAAATCCCATTGACCAAGTTTCCCCCCTCTCAAAATCTAAAAAACAAATGGTCCCTAAGTTCTTTTCTCTTTGTATCTCCTCTTAATCCACAGGGGGTCCAAAGGAAGAAGCCTGTGGTATTTTGCCCATTGGGTATTTGGAACAGGACTTTCTGCACTTGGAATAATCAATATATACACTGGATTACAAGCTTATCACAAGAGGACATCCAGAAGTACAAGACTATGGTCTATACTTTTCACTGCCGAGGTCTCTTTCATTGCTTTCCTCTATCTCTTCCAAGACAAATGGGATTATATGCAGAAGCAAGGAGTGATTTTAGGTAATGAGCCAATTATCCCCACTGATCAAGAAATCTCTCCAACTCCAAGAGACAATCGAAAGGAGATGAATGTTCCTTGTTGAAAAAGAGACGGATTGATTGATGATTTCAAGCTAACATATCCAATTCTTTTTTTTACTCTTTTTCTTCCTCAACTGTGAAAGGTTGGAGTTCTTTTAAAGTATTAGACAAGTAGTGATATCAGATGAAGCATTGGCATTGGCATTGGCATTTGGCAAAAGGAAGCCTCAAACTCAAAGAAAATGAAGAATTATTGGAGAATTCTAAGGCAACTTATACTTGGTGCATGTTTCCTCCACGGCCCCACCCATACATCTCTACAGCTAATCTAGAATATTGTGGGTCCCACGTGAGTCGTCCCCTCACGTGGCTAATGATAATATTCCAAATCAACTGTGTGAACTGCATGGAGGCAACGTTGATTAATTACACATACAATAGTCTTGGTTGGTAGTATTGGGGATGATATGGTGATTTTCACAAGGGTTGGCATGGAGTTGTGCAGTTAGATTCTAAGAGTCTCCGTGTGACACTGACTATGATGGCTATTAGATTTGTGACTTTGTACGGTTGTACCGTTTCTTTATGTGTTTGGATGCAATGTGGAATTGAATATTTTCATACTTTCATTATGATTTTTCCATTTCATTTGAACTAATAGGGCCACGTTTTTTGCTAAAGGGAAACAAAAGTTAAGTATGGAACAACATAATGGATTTAAAAGAATCTGATATAACCCAAAATTATGTCTCTATGTATAAGAAATTGAACTAAACTAGATCACATTACCTGCGACCAAGGTTTGTTAAATCGGACCAGACAAGGAACCGTTTTGGGTCCAGTTCCTGGGTCAAATGGTTGGACCCATTTGGTCCGAACAAACAATTCACTGGCAAAAAAATTTAAAATTTAAAATGGTCAAAAAACATTGTCCAAATTAACGTTTCGACCACCCGAGTCAGTGGTTTGCTGACCAAATCAACAATTTTTGACCAAAAAACAATTTTAGGGTGAAACAATGACTGATTCCCAGTTTTTCCAATCCTCATCCAGTCCAGTCCAGTTTTGAAAACGCTGCCTGCAACCATGGTCGCAGAACAATTCAGTATGCAAATCAACAGTCCAGTTTTAATACATCACGTGGATTGTTTTTTTATTTTAAACGCTGGCTTACTCATATTTCACATGGGGTCATTGATTTGTTCTGCAATCAGGGTCGCAGGTAATGTTTTCACTTTTCGCGTGGTCTTCTGAACTTAAGCAAAGCTTGAAATACCAAAAACTGGTCTTTTATTCTATTTGATAATCAAAAGCTGAAAAGATGCGTACGCAGAAAAGTTTGAAAAATAAATCTTATTTGATGTGGCATTTGCAAATTACTGTTGGGATGGGAAGAAATGAAGTCATTTCTAGTTTTCATCAACATTCTTATAATAGAACCATTAAGGATGATGAAATCCTGCATTCAAATGCTAATTGCTAACTACAAAAATGAAATGATTATGTGCCAAGAAGGTGACTCCTTTGGAATTTAATTGGACCACCTCAGCTCTCATCTTCTCTATTTGCATCAACTGTATCTCTGTATCTACTCAGATTTGTTTCTCTTATTCGACAAGTTGGTAACAGAACAGGTTTCTGCCGCCATTCTTAATCTCATGCAGATTTAGACCAACCGGCTGCATGAGATGGTTGGATTGATCTCGGTAGACCTGAGCATACAACCTTTCAGCTGAAAGCGAAACATTCATTTACTAACAAGTACTTGTTTTTTGGGTGGATTTTAAATGATCCTATTAGAAACAGATCTAATAATAACACGTCTGTCAGGTTTAATCAGATTGAATTTGAATCAAGATGTCAACATCTGATCCATTGGCAACCTTATCCATAGTTAAAACTTTTTTGGTTTTGACAAAATGCCAGGAGGAAATAAAATGGAGATAGAGTTCGATTGTTAACACCACACTTTTAACCTAGTATAACTTCCTGTGGTTGGCAACTTCTGAAATACATGAAAGAATTAAGATGACTAAATTGTAAGATAGAAATTTGGCATGGTGATCAGTATTATAGAGTGGAACTTCCAAGGCCAATTTCATGATTTCATATTTCAATAATGGACCTAAATGTCACTTAATCCTTTACCAAAACATGTCACTTCATCACTAAATGACCATACTAATGCTGCAGAATCTCAGTTCATTGGAAAAAGGAAAGAGGATCGATACTCATTCGTTGATGTTGTAGCATGATAAGGAAAGCATGAGAATAAAATTGAGAAAGTGGAGGAATGACATTTTTCTACAACAATGATGAGTACATAATATGCTTTCTCATGGATCGAAAGAAGAGAATCATGAAAAAATGGAAAAGGATTTAGCTTCCGTACATAAACGGAAAATTCTCCTTCAAAGTTGCAAAAATGGTAGACAGAGAATCATAAGGGAATTATGTCATGCCTATTCATACTATCTGTTCTCATTGAAAGATATAGCTTCTTCTCACATATTATAGATCAGAGAACAGGTGCTCACAGTCCTCTATATCTTGAAAGAAGCCTAATTACTTGGACATGGCAAATCTACGTATTTGCAGAAATTTTCCTAATTCCTTATATGAACTAATGATTCCAAGTCATGGAAAAAACTGTACATAACCAGTTAATACAGCAATCCCTAATATAACAAGTGGGGGAAGAATTACAAATGCTCCAATTGTGGCAAAGAAAACTGTATCATTCCTCTGAGACACTTCATTCAAGTATGCCTGCCTTTTGATGTTTCTCTTCTGTGATATGGTTAAGAATTTTGGGCTCACCTTCTTTAGATTTTTACCTAATGGAATACTGAAATCCTCTCCTTCTCTGTCTCCAACTAACTGAGAGAGCTGATCACGAATCGTAGGTTTCAGAGAGCTCCCATCACTCTCATAACCTGTTTACAAAATAAGAAATCCAAAAGTTTACCAACATCAAAGTGGCACAATGTTTAAAATGGTTTTCTCATATGGGACAACTACACATACCATCACTAGAAGAGCTGGTGGAAGTCAGCTGTTCCAAGAGATCCAGCTGAGTTTGTGCAGAAGAAAAAGACACTTTCCAGAAAATGCAGCAAACACGGATTAGTGTATGAAACCAAAACTTCATTCATAGAAGAGGCATAATAAGAATTTAATATAAAAGGCAGTTAGAATATAAAGAGTGAGAGGAAATAATATTCTAACTTATACATTAACATGAAAGAGAAACCTTCTACCTATTTTGGGCTAGTGCTTTAAGATTCAAGCCACATAGAATTTTGAATTATGAAGTAATTCAATGCTGAGTGACATGGTGAGTGATGAAACTGTGTCTTTCATTCCAAGGGACTTGTATTCCAATGGGGGAGGGGGGGTCTGAGAGGAGCATTGTCCCCCAACTAGGGGTCAAGAGGATCAAACCATATGTGAAATTTGACTGGACATCTGCTGTACAGGGGTATTTCCAGTATTAGTGTTACTGTGTTTTAGTCCTATTTTCTATTAAGATGGTTTATAATTTAACAATGAAAACCATGTTAAACAGAATGGAATAGCGAAACAAGATTAGTAGCCAACCCATGTAGTTAGGATAAGGCTTAGATGATGATAGAAAGTTTAGAAAAAAATAGGTCTTCATATAGTTTTCATTGATCTAAAAAAAAGCATATGATAGAAGTCATAGAGAGGTAATATGATGGGTTTTAAAAAGAAAGGAGTCCCAAATAGGTATATGGAGCTAATCAATGATATGCATGAGGGTGCAAAAACCAAGGTTAGAACACCTCTGGGAGAGACATCAGATTTTACAGCTATAATGGGTCTTCAACAAGGTTCAACACTTGGTCCTTATTTATTTTCACTAATCATAAATGAATTGACTAAGCATATTCAAGAGGAGGTCCCTTTGACCTATGTGCAAAAAAATGCCAAAAGTTATAACTCCATCCATTCTACCCCCCCAAGAACCCAGATAACTGGGACTAACATTGGGTAATGGCCTTTTAGGAGTGCAAACTAGGGTACACTTGGGATTGAAGATCAAGAGATAACTCAATGTGACCTCTCTCATAACCTTGGTTCAATAATCCATACAAAGGAGAGATTGAGGAGGATGTTGTTCATAGAATATGGGCACGATGGACAAAATTGAGGTGTGCATCTAGATTCTTATGTGATAGCCAAATACCACTTCTACTAAAAGGAAACTTTTATAAAACAGTTGTAAGGCAGCTATGTTGCATGGAGCGAAGTGTTGGGCAGCTAAGAAACATGTCCGAAAAGTAAGTGCGGCAGAAATATGAATGCTTAGATGGATGAGTGGTAAAACTAGAAAGGTCAGGGTCATAAATGAAATCATATGAAGGAACCAAAGAGTGGCTCCAAAAGGTGATAAAATGGGAGAAAGTAGACTGAGATCATTTGTAGCGTGCATAGAAGACCAATTACAGCACCTGTTAAAAGAAGTAATTTGTTACAAGTTGAAGGGGCTAGAAGAGCACCAAAAAGAACTTGAGCGGAAGTAGTAAGAGATGATTTTAAGTGCCCATAATTTAACAACGGATAAGGCACAGACCAGAACAAAATGGCGAAACAGGATTCATGTAACCAACCACACATGGGTTGTACTCAAATTAGGAAAGCATTCAGAAATCAAACTTGGTAATAATGTGATATAGAAACTAACTTTCTGCTTAGGGCTGTAATCTTTTTGAGAGTAGTGAAGTTTTTTGCAGGGTTTCATCCAATGACATAGAAATCACCAAATCACGTTATTATTGTGTATTCTCTGTTATTGCATTTCTTTCGTGTTTTCTTGATTACTGGCACAACAGTGAGCATAGGTGATCCCTTGCTTATTAGAGTAACAGGATGTCATTTCGTATTATCATATAGTATATAATATAGTTCGAAATGGAAACCATTTGCTATATTTGCAAGAAGCGACCAAAGAATAGGCATCACACAGTCATACACAGAACGTTCAGGAAATCCCACATGGTCATATCAAGAAGATGGGGTTTCAGTCCTGGATCATCATAATCTCTATTTGGAATTGGAATTTTTATCATAACGAAGAAAAAAGAAAAACCATCATGGTAGAAGAGAAACGCAACTTAGTTCATGACCATTAATTTTGTTTTTGTTGACCCAAGCTCCAATTATTTATAGGACTGAAATTTGATGCTTGATTTCTTGTTTCCACCAGTAGAGACCGAAAAAAAAAAAAAAAAAAAGAAAGATGACCATAGAAATCCAACAGAGTTGAATTGAACTCAGTTATGTGATCAAATCATCAAGCAAGAAAGCAGAACAAGAAAACATATGATACCTGTGAAATCAGGAGGGTCCTCCTCTTTTACTCCTCCTCCTGTTCCTTCTGATCGAGCAGCAGCTCTGAAAGAAGAAGAAAGCTGGTTTGCGGGTGGTGGGCTTTGCGAGGAGGAAAGCTTAAAGAAGAGATTTCTGTGTTTTGGAAGAAGAGGTGTTGGAGGTGAAGGCTTCGACTGCAGAGAGGCGACTCCATAGATCAATGCCATGGAATTGCAGTCGACGACTCTCCTCTGCTGATTCCCCAACAAGCTCTCTCACTCTACTCCATTCATTGTAGTGCTTTTGAGGCCAGAAATCCGTTTTACTTTGTATTCACGCGCTTAATTTTAAATTGAAAAACAGCTCCACCACATATATTCGAGGGACAGCTCCTCCACGGCTCCACGTAGTCAGACACGTGTTATAACCATGGCCCACAGCCCACTTATGAAACAATCTGGACCACGTAAATGGTGAGAATTGGAATCTGTTCCTCACAGAGCGCACCTCACAGACACATCTCACCCTGTATTGGGAACATCTCCAATGTGTACGACCAGAACATACTGTGAAGTCGATGTGAGTCGCGCTTTGTGAGTAGCTGATCCGAACTCAAATGATGGACACCTGAAACCCGGGGATGGCCCACAGCCTTATCACTTGATTATTCTGAATCAATCCACGGGGTGGGCCATCTGAAGATAGTCCTCCGAATCTGCTGCCACACCCAAAAGGCCAAAACCGATCCAAAAAGCGAGTTCGGATTCGGCTCCCGGGGGCGGGTCGGAGCAATCTATCCGATAAATAAACCGACCCACTGGCCAGCTGGTACGCGCTGGGAAGGGTCATTCCGTAAATTTCTGGAGCAAACAAGGGCAAATAATAAACCAACAGTAACAGGGAATTTTGGTCTCCTGACGTTTATATAACAAATTAAATTACCATACTAACCTTAGCCAGTCCGCCCCGAGGAATATCCAGATTAGTCATTAACGCAAATCTGCAGGGACTCTTTCGTGTTAGAAAACAATTCACGGAGATTTTTTAATCTGAAAGAAATATTACCGTTGGACGCGCCGGACTCGGTCGGTACTCGGTAACGCATTCGAAACGTTTTCAGATGATTATTTCTCGTAAACATTCAATTGATTACAGTCAAGTTGGCACCGAATCAGAATATTTAAAAGGTGCAAGAAAAAGCAAAGCAAAGAAGCTCTCTCGTCTCTCTTCTTTTTCCTTCTTTCTCCTCCACTGCTTATATTCTCGACCGTTGCTTCTCTCTCTGCTTTCCTAATCTTTTTCGTCTGCTTTCTCTGCGATAACATGCAAAAAATACAAGAAAAGAGAGAAGGAGCGGAGGTGGTTTCATGGCGAAGCGCTCTGTAGGGGAGCTAGCGGAGGGGAGTGGACCGAGTGGTGAGGCTCATCCTTACGCGTTCCATGTCTCTGGTCCTCGTAATGTTTCTTCTCCGAACTGGAGGGATTTGATCAATTCTAGCTGGTAATGTAGAACCCATATCTTCGTCGTTTCTTTCTTTTTTCACAGATATTTTGGAGTCTGAAGCATTTGGTCATGTATGCTGTAATGGGTCTTCATTCTTCCTTGAAGTTCAACAAAAACTTTAAGTGTTGTCTAGACTCCCTGACCTACAAATTCTGAAGTTTCATTATTTGAACTTTGATATTATATTCTGGATTGTTAGATTTGTTGGAATAATGGAATTCTCTAGTGGATTAGAGTATTATCCTTGTTTAGTTTGTTGTTGTAGATTTTTATGGGTTTCTACTTTCTATTATTCAATTTGATAGAATTGTTCTGTACTCGTATCAAGGAAAAAGAAAGAGGGACTCGAATTGAAAATACACTAGAAATTAGAGCCCGACTACATGGTCCCTTTATGGTGGTCTGTTTTGGAAAAACCATTCTCCTGATCTTTGTACAAACTTATATTAAACACCCTTTTTCCTCTCCACCACAACACTTTATATGGGTTTATATATGTTCCTCTTCTACCTTTGGAAACCCCACAAAACCACAACTTTCCTTTCAATAAGTCCTCCGATCCTTCTCATAACCTCACCCACCTAAAGGTGGTACTTTGGTAGGGTGATTTCAATGTGTTAAAGCTGTGGTCTGAGCCTCCACCTTAATCAGAGATATAGGATGATTAAATAGTAAATTAGCATTATTAAGTAAAAGTTTTCTGCTATAGTTTGGTAAGATGAAGAAAAGCCATCACAGATGTGGAGAAAATTCTATACAAATTACAAACTATTTAATGATTCAGAATTCTTTTTCTATCTATTTATTATTGGTCAGACAAATTATTTATAATTCGGCCATTTATATTTTATAATATAATTGAATATCACAACAGATATTCAGATATAGTGCTGTTATGTATTCTCTGTCAGCTTCATATGATACTGACATTGGATTCTATAGGAGGTGCCTTGGATTGTTGTGTTCAAACTGATCAAATTTGTGCTTTTTGGGGCTCAATTATTCATCTGAATTGTTTGGAATACTCATTGAAATCAAGAAGTGAATGTCTTGCCCTCTTTGTCAGTTAGAGATGGTTCAATTATACAAGGAAGATCATAGAAATTCTTTTATCGGCAAATTTTTCTTTAATTTCTAATTTCTTATAGAAACCAAATCTTTCCAGTTGTCTTATGTGTTTTCATCCTTTCATTAATTAGAAACTCTTGATCAATTGATTTTGCAGGAAGGATAGCAACTACAAAAGAACAGTAATAGCCTGCATCATACAAGCAGTTTATTTGCTTGAACTTGACAGACAGGAGAACAAAACAGAAGAGAATAGCCTAGCTCCAAACTGGTGGAAACCCTTCAAGTACAAGCTGACGCAAACATTAATAGATGAAAGGGATGGGTCCATATTTGGGGCCTTACTGGAATGGGACCGGTCTGCAGCTCTAGCTGACTTTGTAGTGATGAGACCTAGTGGTGCACCAAGGGCTGTTCTAGCACTTAGAGGAACTTTGTTGAAGAGTTTTACTATTAGGAGGGATATAGAGGACGATCTCCGCTTTCTAGCATGGGAAAGCTTGAAGGGGTCTGTCAGATTTGGCATAGCCCTGGAGGCACTAAAAATGGCAGTTGACAGATATGGTAGTCGCAATGTATGTATTGCTGGTCATTCTTTAGGAGCTGGTTTTGCTCTCCAAGTGGGCAAAGCATTAGCTAAAGAAGGAATATATGTAGAGACTCATCTGTTCAATCCACCTTCTGTTTCACTAGCTATGAGCTTGAGAAGCATTGGAGAGAAAGCCGGGTCGGTTTGGAATAGATTAAAATCAATGCTTCCTTCAAGTGGTGAAGCTCAGACTAATGGAGAGGAACCAGAAAAAGCTGCTGGTGCAGGAGTTAAGACATCGAGAGAACCCAAAAAATGGGTTCCACATCTATATGTAAACAACAGTGACTACATCTGTTGTTATTATTCAGATCCAGCTATTACAATAAACGGCTCATCCAACAATGGTGAAGCTGCTGGCAAGGAGAATGCAGATCCTGTAAATGAGAATGTGGCAGCAAAACTGTTTGTGATGTCCAAGGGCAAACAGAAGTTTCTTGAGGCTCATGGCTTGCAGCAATGGTGGTCTGATGATTTGGAACTCCAAATGGCTCTAAACAATAGCAAGCTCATAAGCAGGCAACTCAAGTCCTTGTATACTCTGCCTCCACCACAAGCACCACCTCCACCAGCAGCAGCAGGAGACAAGCCTAGATAACACAAAGTGTTTGCTAGGTGACTCACCTTGAGTGCATTATTTTCAACACCATCAACAACCATACCAAATAAATGAGAGTGCTTGATGAACAGCTGTTTCTTTCTTTTCCCTGGCTTGTCAATTTGAAATATCTTGGAAAAACAAGAGGAACTGATTGATCCCCAACAAAATAAATACAACAACAGTGATGTTCCTAAATTCATGAAAGCTGTCAACCCCGTTGCTTCTCTTTGATACATAATATGGAGTTTTTCAAGTTTCTGTTGTTCTAAATAGATTGAGCAGGTTGAAATTCTCCTCCAGTCTGCTTTATAGTTAAGTTAGAAAATCCATTGCACACTGTTGATCCTAGATATTCAGTCTCTGGAGGGAGAGTCAGAATTAAAAATTTTGATGTTGGCATTCTGGGAATTGTTGTCAATCTTGTTGCTTCTCTTGGATATTGGAGCTTCTCAAGTTTCTGTTGGTCTAAATAGATCAAGCTGGTCAGGTGGAAATTCTTCATCTCCAGTTTGCTGCTAGTAAAGTTAAAAAGCTCATTACCATCCTAGCTATTCAAGTTTCTGATGTTCTAAATAGATCAAGCAGGTTGGAGTTCTCCATCTCCGGTCTGCTTTTATAGTTAAGTTAGAAAGTCCATCGCCCATTGTTGATCCTAGATATTCTGTTGGTCTAAATATATAGATCAAGCAGGTGGAAATTCTTCATCTCCACTTAGAAAGCTCATCACCATCCTTGGGTTGCTTAGAAGCACTTTTTCAATAAGTACTTCTAAGAAAGCGCTTGAAACCTGCTTGGTAAGGTATTACTTGGGTTGCTTTTGCCAATATAAAGATAACTTATTACCCTGAATAAAACAAGAAGGCGTATAAAGATAACTTGTTTCATGGCTATCGGTTTGGCAATATACACCTGAAGAAGGCCAAATATTATTTGAACTTTGAAGAACGGCCTACCACCGCTCGTACCATATCATCTCCATAACCCCCCACTGTCCATGCATTTAGACTAGTGTAGATGAAATTACAATGCAAACAAACTGAATGCAACTTCCTTCTTGATCTTAACTAGTTGTTAAAATAAGCACTTCTAAAAAATACTTGTGTAACTAGTAATTTAGGCTCCGTCTGGTTTGTGGGATGGGGATGAGAAAAGGGAAATATTCCTTTTTCTCTCATTTGTTTCAAGGGAAACAGGGGGATGGGATGAGAAAAAAGTGGGATGCAAGATCCCAAAATTGTGTAATCGGGGCACACCAAAACCGTGCGACCCCAATGGAAAAACTCGATAAAACTCGAGTTTTGTCTTCATCCTCATCGCTGCTGCTGGTAATCGCCACCACTACCACCACCGCTGCCCTTCTACCTTCTACCTTCTGCATAAGAAAATCAGCAACAGATGGTTTCAGGAACTTTGTGTTGGAAGCATGGGCTCTATGAGCTGTGCCAAATGCATCATTCACATAGAGGCCAGCAAGAGAAGCCAGCTTCTTCACAAACTCAAGGTCGTTCTTTTCTTCCTCCTTGTAACATTCTCAAGGACTAGAACACCTCCTTCTGGGATTGCAGCCACCAGCTTCTTAACATCCTCACCAATACAGTCATTGGCCATCTCAACCTATTAAAAGCATATGCATGAAGTAAACAAGAGGAATTTGCCACCATGGTAGAACCCAGATCGGAGGAATCTGTCGATTCTAGTTTCGCACGAGGTAACACCGTTGATGACGTTCAAGATAGCCATTGAATCAAAATAGTCAATTTGGCCTCTGTGAGAAGGGATTATGTGCTCTATCTTTTACTCTTTATTTCTCACCGTGCTAGCAACATTTTTGGTTCAGTCCAAAGTCAAAGACTGTTTAAAATAAAGACTATACTGAAACGGCTCGACCCCACTGGGGATCGAACCCAGAATCTCTGGTTCCGTAGACCAGCGCCTTATCCATTGGGCCATGGAGTCAATTTGTGTTATCACTCTATGTAACAACTTAATATCTATCTTTCTGCAGACATTTTGTATATCAAAATTTGGGATCAGCTAGGCCCCGTTAGAGTTGTTAAAGGTTGGTTTTCAGTTTAGATGAAGATTGATTCCAATCCCAATGATCCCATCCGATAATGTGTTCAGATCTGTGCCCTAGCAGATATCCGTCGTGTATTAGTAACATCAAGCCCCCTTGCGTAAATGTGAATTCATCGGTAACTCAGCCCCACTAATGAGTCGGTACGTATTATTACAGAACTGGTATATACTCCCGCACGCCTCACAGCCACATCCTACCCTGAATTGGGAACATCTCGCATGTATAGAATATCTCCTATGAATAATAAATAGGGTTTCTAGCAGATAAGAACAACTTTATTTTTATAAAATAATCAAAATAAAGTAACTTTTTTTTTGAAAAATATCAAGCATCGTCTGCCTCTTTCTATTTTTATTATTTTATAAAAGTATAATCTTATATTGATATTCAGGGGAGGAACATGTTACCAATGTGCGGCCATGCTGTGATGTCAGTGTGAGGAGCATATGTGAACTCATTGTTACAACGAAGATGCGGATTCGAGTAACATCATCGGAAATGATATTATCATCGGGAGATTTTACCAACACACGGCGAAGATGTGAACTCGTCTCCTATGGCCTATGGGATTCAGGCGTACGATACGATTAAATACAGAAAAAACCAACAATGTAACATATTTTATCCGTCATAAAAATGGAAATACTTCTTTAGAATTGAATATTGAATACTGATTTACATTATTAAATTGATCCAATGACCACGGCTAGGATTGAATTGCAGCTATCTAATACCGTACCTCTATGAACCATCATATAAGTATTCTCCTAACTTATCCTCTTGGCACTGGCCAGAAACGACAAGCAATCCCCCAGCCCCGCTCTCACTCTCGGTCGTCGCCCTAAGGATTCTCCGCCACCTGCGGCGGAGCAGAGACCGGATCTGCTCCTCACAACTGGCGCCTCACAGGCGCCTCACACGCAGATCCTACCATGCATTGAGAACATCTCCCGTGTGAGGCGCCCATTTGTGAGGAGCATATCCCGTCACGGCGGAGCAACTACCTCGTCCTTCACGCTAAAAGACAACGAGTCCCGCCTAATAAGAAACCTACCGGTGGGCGGGACCCAGAGATTGAGCAGCCCTTGCGGCCGCCCGGACGGCCTCCACACCTGAATCGCCATGCACTGAATCGGATTATCCGCCGGCTCCGATGCGTCTCCGCCCTTGAGCACGTCGCACAGCAACACCCTCGCACTCCCGACCGGCTTCTCCCTGATGTGCCCGTGAGCATATATATCGACGTTGAGAGCTGACATGACGTCATCCTCCGACAAGTCTTCGTGAAACTTCACCTTCACCACCTCGTTCCACGTCGGGTCCACGCCTCCCTCTTCGTCCACCTTCGTCTTCGCCACGTGCTCCCGCTCCACGTACACCACCGCGTATGCTCTCATCTTGGTCACATGCTTCACATTCTTCAGGTCCTGCGCCGAGTGGATCAACACTTCAATCTCCCTCATCCGCCGCTCCGGCGGCTTCTTCCTTCGAAGGCCGTCTGACTCGTAACTCATTTCTCCGATCGCCGGAAAATCAAAGCCTACACGGACTTTCCGGTGGATGAGACGGTGAAATTAGACGAGCGTTTTATAGGCGGGAAGTTAGGAAATAGCCAGACATTGCCTACCATGAAATTTATACAGCATTATTCCTTATTTGCCCTCGGACTCGGGGTTCGTAAGAAAGTGAATACGTGTTGGGTTTTGTAAATAATGTGAAAAAGAAGGTATTAGTATTATCGCTTTAATATAATGGAGTGCCGATAAGCACGCACTTTGTCGTTAGTAATGCCCAAATTTGTCAGAATGACAATGCTATGGAGTATCGAGCCAATAACCGTCAGATTGTAATCAATCTGAGAACTGAATTGGTGAAAGTCCCTTGTATGCTAATCAAACAGATAATAATAAAGATAACAATCTAAACTAATGTTCTATAAATCACTACATCTTAACCACACAACGTTCCAATTTCCAGATCATGACAAGAGAAGAAAAGAATGAAATGCCGACGGAACTGCCAAACTGAGCACCGACCACAATGCCACGTTATTCAGCGTCTTCTCTGCGAATGAATAAACCTGAGAAAAGACAAAACATATCCCTATTGACGAAAGTGCCCTTAAAGAATTCTCCATATTTCTTGCTTGCGTTGACCAAAATACCCCAATCGAACAACCTAATTACGATTGGACTAACCCTAATTTGGATTTGTAATTCTAGAATAGTTGTAGATCCGGCGTGGGTATAATGATCAGCATCAAGGAAGACTTTAATCGCTTTATCTAAGCCGTCGATCAGTTGCCATGCTTTTGGTATATTGGTCAAGTATGTGACAAGTGTAGAACTGTAAAACGGGCCGGGCCGTACCTCCCTCCCTTCCGATGTTTTGCGATATTTTGCGATATTCTAGGCCAGGTGGGCTGTAGGCCATACCGTGGGTTTGGGCCTTGATCGAAGGGTCAGAATGGCCTAATTTGTTTTTTCTTGACATTTTGATTTTTTTTTTAATTTTTTGTTAAGTAAAACTAAAGTAATTAATTTTACTTTGGAAATAAATTGAAAAAAAAATCTAATAAAGAAATGAAAAAAAAAATACTAATAGGGGCGGAGCCAAGGGGGGACCCAAGGGAGCCATGGCCCCCTATGGTCCAGAAATCTCCCCACGTAACACATTTTTTCATACTAGTTTCTTCCCTCCCCCCACTTTCCACCCAATGGTTGCACACTCCCCCTATGGCCCATCCATAAGTTTTGGCCCCCTTATAAAAAATTCTTATCTCCACTCCTACTAACCAAAATACAAAATAGACAACAAATTGGAAAAAAAATAGAAATTTTATTTCATTTACAATATAAAAATTACATTGTTGAGAAAATAATAAATAATTTATATAAAACTGAAAAAACTATTCCATCTCCTTGATTTCAATTAGCTGATGTCATGCCCTTCTTTGTCTTGTAATTTATCCTTAACATCCAGCAAATCTTTAAAGTAGATGTCTTTTTCTTGTTTCTCATGGAAGAACAAATGTCTACCTAAGTGGCCAGTATCACCCTTGTTACTGAAGCTAAAGTCAATCCTACATTTTTGGCAAGTGGCTCTTTTTCCCTTCCCCTCAACCTCCTCTATTTTAAATACTTTCTAAATCGAGCTAGTGAATTTACTATTGGGGAATTGGTTTCGGGAGGAGGAACAGGCCACTTTTTGTTCTAAAAAAAAACAAAAAATAATTTAATTGCACTTACCTAGATGGTTGGATTATCGGTTCAAAATCTCAATTTGATTTCAATGGTTAAAGCATCAAAGACCAAAGGCCCAAAACCTCCTAAATTGCTAAGTGTATGACACTATGACGATATGAGATGAGAAACTAAGAGAGTATGAGATAATGAGAATAAAGAATTGAGAAGAGAATTTAGAATTGCTAAGTTGGTGTAATGATAATGGTGGAGGATAGGACTATTTATATGAATTTAAAATAATTTAATTTCCTAAAATACCCTAAAAACTAGTCATTTTTTAATTGTTGGGAGGAGTATTTTGATCATTATAAAGTCATTTATCACTTTACCCAAATGCCCCAAAAACCCCAAATTGTTAGAGGGGCATTATTGTATTTTTCTTCTCCTAAAGCCAAAATACATAAATACCCATATATAACTATTTATAGGCTTATAATTGTTGATTAAGGGGTATTTCTATAAAAAAACCCATAAAAAAGCTAAAACTAGCCGTTTGGGGGTTCCCCAAAGGCCCCAACAGCTAGTTTTCTCAAACAAGTTGCACTCGACCCATTACAGGCCCATGGGTCGAACCATTCTATGTCGTGCCATAGGCTGTGTTGTGGGTTGGGCCATGTCGACATGTGGGCCGCGGGTGGCACAGTATGCACAATCGTGTCATGTCGTGCTGGCTCATGGACTTGAAATCCCCAACACAACACAACTCATACGATCATGTTGTGCCTAGCATGACCTGCATGTCGTCGTGCCAAGCCGCAGGAGGCACGACCCGATTTACAGCTCTAGATAAGTGGTATAAGAGCCTACCATTATGTCTCAAGTCAGAATTATGGAAAGGGTTATCTAGAGCAAAGTGAAAACAATGAGAGGGAAGGGACTATTTGACTCAAGAAGTGTGAATTGTCATGGAGAAAGCTACCTATGACTAGAGTAAAAGTTACTCAAAATGTTGATTGAAATACCGACCTCCATGATCCAACTGAAGGCATGACTCTCAAGGACCTTGGTTGGGTGCATCAAGATCTCAATCCAATCTACTAAGAGGGAAAACCCCCAAGAAAGTGCTTCAACAACCTGAGCATCCTAGAAACTATCGCCCACTGTCACCGTCCACTCCAGCACATATGATCCACGATCTTGTATCAATAGGGTTTCCTCCCAGTGAGCTTCTTCTCTAACAACCTGCTTATCATTCAAGATCTCCACCCTCTCCCTTAGCCTCTTTTATTGAAATCTTGTTGTAAGTACATGTAGTTTACCATCACCGGGACTACGACGAAGATGTTAAAAGGAAACCATATGGAGAAATCCCAACTGGGACACCTTTGTCAATGACACAATGACACTTAATCAAAATGGTGGAAGGCTTACACACTTGTGATGAGAACAAAGAGACATCCAGGATTTTTGATGGGCATGAAATGCCTCCTAGGACATGCAATGAGCAATGGAGTGTCCCTTGAGACTTGTGTAGACATAAAGGTCTCGTTCGCATTTTGATAAGTTACTTACCCGGGTAATTGTTTCCCAAGAAAGATTTACCCGTGTAAGTGCATTTACCCATGTTCTTTTATTTCTCATATAAACATGTATAAGGCAATGACCATTTTGTCCATAAAAGTCCATTATTGCAAGGGGCATTTTTGTCCCTTTCAAGTATTGGCAACTTTCCCCCAAGATGGGAAAGTTATTTACCCATCTAGGAGATGAGTGGTAAGTGATACCCAGGAAAATAAACTTTCCCTAGTCCCCACATAAATCTAAAAAAAGAGCATGAGATTTTTGGTCAATGGGAATCAAAATCCCATTGACCAGCTTTCCCCTCTCTCAAAATCCAGAAAAAGAACACCCCCAAAATGATATTGCCAATCTAAGACAAACCCAATACACTACTAGTGCCTTGCAATGGACATGACATGGCAGACCATACTATAACAAACGATGAATAGACCCCGAAACCAGCAATGGGTACAAAATGATATCACAACTCTGTGCATTACCAACATCCTACGATGAGTATAGAATAGCAACTCACACTGTGGTGAACGATAAACAAAGACAAAGCCGAAAATATATGTTCGTAGGCAATTCACACTCTACACAGTTGTGGCAAGCTACAACGAAATGCTCTAAATATGACTTACAAAAACATTCAAATATGTCAGCCGACTGAAAATCCTGAAACATGGCTGCAAGAGAACCCATGAAGGGGTGTAACCGACATGTGCTATGTGAGAACCCTTAGGGAAAGGAAACTCTATCCCTAGAGAGTCTCACTAGACACGTGGCAAAACCTTAGTGGAGTTCACTTGATAGATGACGTGGGGATAAAGATCCCCTTTCCTAATAGGGAAATGTCTTTTTTGGGATCTTCTCCTAATAGCATCAAAATCCCATCTATAAAAGGGAAAACAACTCTCTCCCATGGGACATGAGCTTATGACCCTAACTCTAGGGTTTCTTAGGACCTCTCTCTCTCTCTCTCTCCCCCTTCTCCTCTCTTCTCCACCGTTCTCTACAACCATGCTTCCATCTTCTTCTCTCTTCAGCGCCATTCCCTTGGACCTTTAGATGTTGGGCCAACTGTTCGGAGTCCATGGCAATTACACTTATAGTTGAGCTCGTTGTTAAGCTCCCAAAGTACCAACATTACCCTCTAAAGACTTACTCTTCAACATCTTCATCTTGACCAATAGGCTTGGGGTATTAGCCATATCTACATTAGTAAAGAAATTATAGTCAATATAAACTTAAAAAGACAAACACAATTAAAAAAACACAAGTCTATGTTGGCTGGCTTGATATAGGCCTCTACCTACATTTGGTTGATTGAGTTAACTTTAACTAGTCTAGCCTCGAATAAAAACTCCTTAACATTGACCTTAGCACCGGCCATCTTATTAAAGTCCATTTCCTCTTTGTTAACCAACATGGACCCCTTTAGACCCATTGTAGATTCCATCCACCTCATTGGAAAACACCACACTACCAACCCATTCACATGGTGCCCTTGTTCTAAACTAAAAAGTAATACCACCCCTTTAACTAAGGGTGGTCTTTTAGCACTAAGAGGGCCTAGAATACCCATGTAGTCAATTTAACCTAGCAATTCCAAGTTGTGCAAATGGTAGTGACTAGAAATCTCAAAGTGTTCACCACCTACTCATCCACTAAAAACCTTAACAACTACCAAGTTGTCTTCATAAACACATAGCCAATCCATGAGGTCTTGACAAGTCCCCTCTCTTCTTTGGTCGGTGCCCTCACTTCAAATTCCTCAAGTATGTGATATTTGTGACTAATCTCTCTATGTCCCCTGCCTCAAGACACTCTTAAGAAGCCAAATACCCTCCTCAAGTAGGTCATTGGCTGGTGACACATCCCTAGACTCAACCTCCTAGACAATAACTTCCAAAATCCCAACCTTGGGAACTCTCTCATTGTTGTCCACATTGACAATGTTCACCACAATGCCTTCCACTTGAGCCTAGTTGCCTACATAGACCTTGGTTTCTGTGGCCCTTGACTTTAGGAAAGGACTCATCCCTATTTGGGGACTACCAACCTTGGTCCCCCTAATTGCCTCACTAACTAAGTTGAAGAAGGCATTTGCTAACTCCAACACCAATCTAGGACACTTGGACTGAGAATAAGAAGAGCTAGTGGTAGTCGAAAAAGACATAATGAATAAGCAAAGAAAATAAACTTACCAAACCAACAATCCCAACTAGAATAGACACTGAGCACCAAACTAAACTCAAATATCGACCTAGCTCCGCTCTACTTTCCCCAAGTAGTCCAAAAGAAAATGGAAAAGTCCTAGTCACTCGAGACTCCTCCCTTATACATTACCTTCAATGGATCAAATCAACTTCCAATCAATTATGCTAATCTTACCCTGTCTTGACATCTAACACACATTCCACGGTTGAGCCATTGAGGGGTCACTTTGATAAAACATCTCAAAAGACAAAGAAACACATTAATTACACTATATATGCTAGTTATATGAATAGAATTGACGCGACCACCCAGAGAGCACGTACAAACCATGCACCACAAACTGAAATTCTCACATCTCCTTGGAACAAGCATAAAACAACTCAAACATGACACCCACTCCAACAATTAACATGACTACTTTATTTGATTGAGTCATTCTCTCACTAATAAGTAACATACAACCACCTCGGTCTTGAAAGTGGGAAGCAAGTGATGTGGCCCATCCACGTGGCTTAATCTCAGGCCACCATGTGTTCTTGAATGAAAAATCAAGAATCTCACTGATGACCTAAATCAGCCTGGCCATTTGACATAACTAGTTGATTCACTTTGGCCGCCTTCAAGGCCAAATACCATCTCTTAACATGACTACAACTTCTTGGAAAACACAATACCCCCTCTATAAATAGTTAAGGCATATCCAGAAGAAGGGACACACAATATAGCCCTCTTCTTACTCTCACCTCATCCTTTTTTTTTTCTTTTCTTTTTTCTTTTTATAATCAACCTCCTCAACTCAGCCTAGCAACCTCTTGCTTATTGACTTAAGCATCAAAGAATTTCCCCCAGAGACACACCTCAGGGCCATCTCTATCTCTTGTAAGTGCTTGCAGAAGTAGGTTAGTTCAACCAACCTCTTCAACTCGTATGGTATCCAACTACCTCTCACCTCTCATATCTGTTACCCAGATTCGGACTACAACACACACATAACTACAAGACACTACATCTGTGTATCAAGAACATCTCCCCATGAATGACATTGAGATGTTCCCTTAGATGTTTCTGATGTGCAGCTATAGTGTCTTGTGGGTAGCACTATAGGTGGTTGATCTAAATTATTCACTATAACTCTTTTCCAATTCCATGAACTATCTATTTTGGGTGGGTTTTAAGAAATCTTTTTCTTAGGTATTTCTTTATCATCATTTCCTTTTTTTTCCATACGTTTCCCTTTTCTATGTATGGGGTCTCTTTTTATATTATTACATCATATGAATTTTCTATGTAGTGGGTCTAGGGTGATTATAGGTTGGGCCGAACTTTGTACATATGATAAGGGCTATAGCCCGAGCTCAAACCCATGAATTATATTTTTTTGGTGGGCTTTAAGAAACCTTTTTCCAAGGCATTTCTTTATCATTTCATTTTTCCATGCATTTTCCTTTTCTATGTATGAAGGGATAAAAATGGACCGGGTCGGATTTGAATAGGGTATATTCGAATCCAATTTGGCACTGTTCATGTCGGATCCAAATATCCAATCAGATTTGATAAGACTCGATCTAAATTCGAATCCTATTGGATCTTTGGATCTGATTGATCTGACTTGTTTTCTTTAAAAATTAATAAATTATTAAAAAAAAATAAAATATACCAATTTAAATAAAGAAAAAACAAAAAATACAAGTATTTTTTAAATTATTTTCATCATATATACACATGCTTTTTTATAAAAAATAAATAATATAACAAATTTATAGAAATGCAATATAAATAATATATTTATAAATAAATAAATAACATATATATGTATTATATATATTTATATTTATAAATATATAACACATAAAATTGGATCTTCTTAGACCGAATAGGGGGGATCTGAATCCTATCCAATTTCTGAGCAGATCATAGGATCCGATCTAATCCAATCTGAAGGTCCAACCAAGTTTGATCTGAATTTGACTAAATAAGATCGGATCTTGAATTGAATTGAATCATGATCCGATCCATTTGCACCCCTATATGTATGGGGTCTCTTTTATATTATTACATCATATGAATTTTCTATGTAGTGGGTCTAGGGTGATTATGGGTTGGGCCAAGCTTTGCACCTATGATAAGGGTTATAGCCCGAATTGGGGATAGAGTTGGTTTTGGGTCTAGGTCTCTTAGATATAAAATACTAATAGGACCCCATGAGATGCATGGTCATTCTTAAATAAAATCCAAGTTGAAGGACCCTTATGACATTTTCAACCTAAACATTATTTTTGGTTATGTCATCACCATCATCCATGACTTATCCCAATTATATGCGGTCGGCTACATGATTCTTGTTTCACCACAATCTGTTATATTAAAATCCATATCCACTACTAATTATTAATGATTAAATCATTTCTTACTCTACCTAAGTCCTTTTTGGTCCACCCCTAGCCCCTTTATCCCCTTCAAATGTACCAAATCACTTCTTCTCAAATGTGTTGTTGATGGTCTTATATGTATGTGATCAAATCATCTTAGTCTATTTTCTCTAATTTTATCACATGTTGGAGCAGTTCCTAAGTTACTACATATGACTTAATTCATTATTTGATCCTTTATAGTTTTTCCACTCATCCATTTTAGCATTCACATTTATACCATGATCATTTTTTGGACACGTGGTTTCTTCACTGCCTAACACTCATTTCCATACAACAAGCTATCCTTATAACTATTTAATAGAATTTTCCTTTTAGCCTTAAGTGGTATTCTCTTATCACATTAAAGTCCAGATGCACCCCTCCATTTTGCCCATCTTGCTCTAATTCTTTGAGTAACATTTTTGGTTTATGTATTGCTAAATAAGCTTATATTAATTTTTCTATTAATGTTTATTAATTGTATTTTGGTTAGATAAATTGTTGTCAACTTTTGTTATTCTAAATTGAATTTAAATGATAAAACAAAGAAAATGATAACAAAATTTTAAAATATTTATTTCAATAAAAAAGTAGAAAATATATAAAATACATAAGGGCAAAAGATTTAAACCTCCCATAACTTTTCCCCTAAATATCGAAACCTCCCCTCTCCTTTTAACATGGACTAAGACCTCCCCTATTTGGGAATTGTCATCAGACAAAAATCTCTCTTCTATTAATAATAGATTTTTATGGTTAAAATGGTCGTTACCTTATTTACATGAAAAAATACACTTATTAGAATAAGTCTTATCTAAAAAACACTTATTTGGGTAAGTATATTTACCTGGATAATTAACTTATAAAAAAACAAACGGGCCTGGTCAATAGAAGCCAATTTACAATTCAAACGGTCAAAATCGGGTATTTTGGTAATTTTGCGGTTGTAGATCCAACAATGTCAAAGCTCGAGGAGGATGGTACTATTACTATTAGCATAAAACAGGTTAATCGCAACAGTCGAAAAAATACAGGGGTGGTTTCATCTATTTGCCGTTTAATTTATACGGGTAAGACCGGATGCCTGACCCGGGCCCGGATAAAATGTTCGTCTTCATCCTTAAAAAGAACACTGTTGACTGTTGAGTGTTGGCTATCGCTCGTCCGAGGAGGCGGACTCCGGTCTCCGGCAGGGCATTTTCGAGCAAAACCTGAGAGAGAGAGAGATGGACGGAGTTTCTTACCAGCGATTTCCAAAGGTGAAGATTAGAGAGATGAAGGACGACTACCTAAAGTTCGAGCTCCGAGAGACGGACGCAAGTATTGCTAACGCCCTCCGCCGCGTGATGATTGCGGAGGTCCCCACCATTGCAATCGACCTGGTCGAAATCGAGGGCAACTCGTCTGTGCTCAACGACGAGTTCATCGCTCATCGGCTTGGTCTCATCCCTCTGACTAGCGAACGTGCCATGGGCATGCGCTTCTCCCGTGACTGTGATGCCTGTGATGGCGACGGTCAGTGCGAGTATTGCTCCGTTGAATTCCACCTCCATGTCCGCTGCGACACGGACCAGACCCTCGACGTCACCAGCTACGACCTCAGAAGCTCTGACCCTTCCGTGGTTCCCGTTGATGTTGCCCAGCACTCCGAGTCCACCGGTTACGATGCTTCTGAGCAGAGGTAGGAGTAGGACTCCAAATAATGGAACCCTTTTCGAGTTTCTGATGATCTTCTAAAACCCTAAACCCCTTTTTGTGTAGTTTGAGAAGTAAACGGTATTTGTTCGTGTGGGCTTTCCTTCAGGGGGATTATTATTGTGAAATTGCGTCGTGGGCAAGAACTGAGACTGAGAGCCATAGCTAGAAAGGGGATTGGCAAAGACCACGCGAAGTGGTCGCCTGCAGCCACTGTTACCTTTATGTATGAACCTGAAATCCATATTAATGAAGATTTGATGGAAACTCTTACTCTTGATGAGAAAAGGGATTGGATTGAAAGCAGCCCGACCAAGGTTTTTGGCCTTGATCCCAATACTCACCAGGTAAGTTAACCTTGCTATCTTCCTTCTAAACTTTTCAGTATTGTGGTCATATTGCGGGGATACGTGTCTTCGATGTCAGACAAACTAAAAGTCGTAATGGTGGTTGTGAAGATGATGTTTTAAAAGATCTTGAGGACTGAGGAGTATCTCATAATAGTTCATGTAGGTTTTAAGTGTTGGTTTCAGAACAACCATCTAAGATGAAACTAAAACTCTTAAAGTATTAGAAGCAGCAGATGAAACTAAAACTCTAAGATGAAACTAAAACTAAAACTCCTTTCTACTCTCAACCTCTATTGCTTTCATTTCCCAAAATAAAAAGAGCATTCTCATAAACCCTACATACAAAGAAACCCTATATACATAAAGCCCATTTTAACATAAAAGAGGGACCATACCAACTGGTAGATTACAATCTAATCCAATGGTTGAACAATAAGACAAATCCAATTATCTCCATTTTTTAACTACCTTCAAGATCTTTCATTTGTGCTTCCACTTATTTGCAAATAAGGCAAATATCCATTGGTCTTGAGAAACACCTCCAGCTACACATAACTTTCATCACCAGGTCCTGCTACCATGTGATTTAAACAAAAGCAGCCAATGCACTTTTGCACCTGTACCCGAGCTAACAATCCTAATTAACTCCAGAGAGGGACATCGATCATTCCTTTCTCCTAGTAGAAACTTTCTTCTCACCATCATCTGAACTTTGTAAACACATAACATTTGTTTTCATCTCAACTGCAAAAGAGACCTTTCGTGTGGCCACACTACCTTGTGCATCTCATTTCCCACAATCCATCAAAATTTTGGAAATCATTGTACATAGATGTTATAAACCCCTTTTGCAGTAAAGACCTTGCAACCTTTAGAATCCAATTGGATAAGTGATATTAGATTCTTATACATCTTTGGGACATATGCCACACCATTCAAATTGCAAACCACATCATTAAAACATTTTGATTTTCACTGTCCCCACACCCACAATATCACAAGTAGACCCATCACCCAATCAGACAACACTTGTTTTTTCTTGAAATGTACTAAAATATATTTTCTTGGACAAAATGTGCATAAAACATTCAGAGTCTAAAGATCATTCATCTAGAGAAGAAATGTGCATGCCTTTGGAGATTATGAGAACATCTCCATCATCATCCAATGTAGATTTTTTTTGATAGGTGACAGGTAAAAAATTTATTAATATAAATAGAGAATACAAAAAATATGTACAAGAAAGGGTCCCAAGGAGAGGTAGAAGCATCTTCCTCTCTACCATACAACTAATTACAAGATAGCTCGATACAACTGTCCCCTAGTGACCCCTTGTTTGGCCGACAAATCAGCCAAATTATTTGCACCGCTTGGAACCGAATGTAGTCTTACAGTCATATCCCTTGTTAACCATTTAATCCTCCTTATTACATTTCCATGAGTCCAAGATCCTTGCATTTCATTCCTTAGCTAGCCTATCCTCTACTTGAGAGTCCCCTTCAATAACTAGCCTCTCTATATTCATCTCTTTTGCTTTTTGAACCCCTTGTAGGACTGCAAGCATTTTAGCTCTTGTTGAGTCTCAAACTCCAATTAGACCAGAAAATAAGGCTGCTATATTCTTTTCTTTGTTCCTAAGCACTCCTCAAATTCCTAAGGAGCCTTGATTGTCAAAGATACTACCATCGAAATAAAATTTTAAGAATCTATCATGATGTGGTTACCATTCTTTGTAACCTCTACTTTGTCTTGTTGAAGACACAACCACTTCCCTCCAATTCCTTCTCAAATCATCAAAAGAATAGGATGAGAACAAATGCAGAGCTTTTACCCAATGAATCACCCTTGCCAAAATACATTCCAATACTGATTCCAAGCTTCTTTCTTCTTTCTTGAAGATTCTAGCATTTCTTTTCTCCCACATTGTCCATAAAACAACAACCCTGGTACATTTCCACAACATTCTCCCTCTCTTTTTCTGCCATCTAAAAATTTCAACCTCAAACAAGCTGGCCAAGCTCATAGGAGTCCACCTACACCAAAAAAGAGTGAAGAACCAATTCCAAATAGAAGAAATGAAAGAGTAGGAGATTAATAAATGAAAAGCAGATTCATCATTAGTCTTACAAAGTATGTACCAGTTTGGAGATAAGCAAGTAGTCTTTTTTCTCATTTACAGCATGTCTAGAGTATTGATCTTTCCATGAAAAACCTCCCAACAGAAAGCTTCAATTTTTAGGGGTATTGGTTTATACCAAACTTCATGGCAGGGAATGTGGAAGGAAGGATAGTAGGAGAAACCAAGACCCACAAAAAAGAAGCATAAGAGAAAAGTCCCTTTGGACTAGGTATCCAAATCCTCCCATCTGACTTGGTTAGGTTCATCACCACTTCCTCAAGAGTTTGCAGAAACTGAACAACAGAACACTCATTCTCCCTTAGCCCTTTTCTCAAACCCAAATCCCTGTTAGAGTTTTCAGATCCTGAGTAGAATCTTGAAACATGTTCTTTTTTTCTTTTAAAGAGAGAGCATAAAGAGAAGGAAAAACATCTTTCAGAGGTATCTCACTCACCCATTGGTCTTCCCAAAATAAAATTTTATTTCCAGAATAAACATCATACCTGATATGGCTTAAGAATTATGGGAGGATTATCTGAGTAGATTATAGAGGGGTAGTACAAGGGAAAGTTTTCTAGAGTTGACTTGATCAGAGTTATTCTTCCACCCAAGGAAATGTAGTTGCGTTTCCATGCCACTAGCCTTTTCTTAAACCTTTCTAAAATTGGAGTCCAAAAACTATCGTTCCTCGGATTGCCTCCCAAAAGAAGACTTGAGTAATTCATTGGCCACTCACTAGTAGAACAACCTAAACCCTTCGCTGTAGCTTGTATCTCAACATCCTCCATGTTTACCCTAGCTATACAACTTTTTTCTAAATCGATTTTCAGATTGGAAATCCTTTCAAACAACATCAATAAAATTCTCAAAGTTCTCACTTCTCACCTGTTGTGGGTTACAATCATCATAGAAAATGAGTATATCATCTACAAATTGAAGATGTGTAACCACTATACTATCCCTCCCAATTCTACAACCTCTTAACAAACCCCTCTTGATTAGCCTTGGTAATCATTCTACTAAGCACATTTGTAATTAGGGTAAACAGAAAGGGGGACAATGAATCTCCTTGTATCAACCCTCTATGTGACTATGTGTCGAGAAGAAATATCTGACCACACCGTTGACCAAAATAGAAGGATGACAAGTTTGTAGGCAATCACTAATCCACTTACACCATTTTTCCCGAAAACCACATACTCATTACCTCAATCAGACCAATACACTTGATCATATGCTTTCTCAACGTCTAGTTTGCACACTATCCCTTACCTCTAGATCTTTTTCTTTCCTGCACACATTCACTAGCAATTAAAATTTGATCAGTGGTTTTCCTATCCTAAATAAAAGCCCTTTGATATGGGGTGGTAATTGAAGGAATCACTGCTTTGAGCTTCAATGAGAGCACTTTAGCAATTACAAGGTTTAAAATGTCAATGTCGATGGAAATGTCGCTTACCAAAATATAGGACATATGTCGGAAGTGTCAGAAATGTCAAGGGGAAATATTGTAAAAATTAGAGACATTGTGGAAATATTATGAAATATGTGGAAATATGCAAAGATATTTTGTAAAATGATAGAAGAAGCATTAATACATATTTCTAGACTATTATCTTATTCCCAACCATTATATAAAGCTAAGAAACTAAGATYAATAACAAATTAGTAAATGACGATTTACTGATTTATTATGCATTTTGATGTTTTTACAAGGTTATCTGATATTTTCTTTTCTTATTTTTAATTCTGATTTATTATAAATTCTAATATATTTATTTCACACTAGTAAATAGAAATACATTTATTCTGATTTTTTAAATATTAAAGTTATAATACATTATTTTTTATTATAAATTTAATAAACTGATTCTCCTTTTTGTAGTATAAAAATTATGATAAATTCTGATTTATTATAAAACTTAATGAATTTATTATGATTTTYAATACTAAATTTATAATAAATTATGATTTAGTATAAATTTTATTAAATTTATTCTGATTTTTTATATTAAATGTAGAATATGGTTTATTATAAAATTTAATAAACATTTTCTGATTTTAATAAATATTTTAAAAAATACTAACTAGTTAAATATATTGTATTAATGGAATAATCTATATTAATATATTGTATTATATTAATATAATATACTAATATATTATATTTTTAATGTACATTAGTCAACATCATGTCGACATAATAGGAAAAACTGTATTTTTTTTGGTTATTTGGACCGATTTGGTTGACATTTCCGAAATATAGGAAATGTCGACCAACATAATGTAATTTTTAAATTACCATCCATTTTCATGTCGGTGAGCCTCGACATCAACATATGTCTGGCGACATTAGCGACATTTAGAGACATTTGAAACCTTGAGCAATTATTTTATAGCAAAATAATGGGCCTAAACTCCCTAGGACAAGACACCTCTGTTTTTGGGCATCAAAGCTAAAAATGTAGCATTGAGCCCTAGATTTATGACGCTCCTCTCACAGAACTGCTCAAAGGCCTCAAACAAATAATATTTTATTATCTCCCAACAATCTTGATAGAATGCCATGGTAAAACCATGAGGTCCAGGGGCCTTAGATCTATCCATAAAGAACACAACATTCTTAATTTCATAAATCTTAAATCTTTTTTTTTCCAAATTATCCCTAAAGGACTAATCCAAAGCGGGCCAATCTAACCATTCAACAACCAGTCAATCCTCCTCAGGCCTTTTATAAATTGATTTGATATGTTCCACAAAGATATGTGCAATTTCTGGTTGGTCTATCGCCTCCACACCATCTTTCACCAATGCAGAAATGATATTGTATCCTCTAGCTCCTTTCTTTAGATTCCATCTACAAGTCTTTTCCTTTGCA